ACATTGACCTTTATATCAGATACCTGGGTACCAACCACAAGCTGCCTGTTAAAATAAGCTATTCGTACACCAAGTTTTAGTCAATAGACCAAAGCAAACTCAAGTTATTGAACTGAAACTAAATTTCTATTTTAAGTTACAGTGACGTTGACCTTAATCACAGACACCTGGGTATTAATCATAATCTGCCTCTAGAAATAAATTACCCATACACCAAGTTAAGTGGAAATAGGGGAAAGCAAGCTCAAATTATTGAGCAGAAACTGAATTTCTATATTTAGTAACAGTGACCTTGACCTTAATCACAGACACATGGGAAGCCCAAGCTGCCTCTTGATATAAGCTACCTACACACCAGTCGGTGTCAATAGGCCATATTAAGCAGAAACCAAAAACCGCTCGGCCGTCTGTCCACCTGCCGACTTCGACGTTGCAATAACCAGTTTCCTTGAAAACCTAGTTTAAAACAATAACCTTTTTATTAACATTGCCGTACACTGGTATATCTGAATGGACAAAAAAGACAGAAACATGTTTTTCTTTTCTATGTTAAGTCGATGTTATAAAAAGTTAATTTACTGATAGACACCAAATGGCCCGTCAAAGCTTTTCGAGCGACAATTTTGGGTTAAATATGTGTTTACGTTCTTGAAGATCTACTTAGATAAAGATTATATAGTTTTTTATTGATGTCTTTTGTGAGAAGAAAAATATTTCACTTAATTAAAGAGTATTCTTTTTACGGAAACGTCAACATATACTCTGGTTTGAGGTGTAGAAATGAATCAAATGCGGTACCAACTGCGTGTTGAATTCAGTGCAAGTATGTTGACATTGACTTATTCTTTTATATGTTTTGCCTTTTCTCTTTGGAGACAATTTTTTCCAAAGGATTATTTTCCTTCAATTGATTTTAAAGACCCCAAAGTTTTTTTCGACATTCTAAAATGTTTAAAGTACTTATCAACCAAAATAGCAATCTAGCCATACGGTTATGAGATAACCTTGTGGGACAAATCGATCAATTCCGTTTAACATTCCGAAATTCCAACCTGCTATGCTCAAAGAAAACAAAAACATAGAATTCAGACCAGGAGTAAGATAATAATAGTATGTGAGATTTAAAGCTTTTATTTTCTCAGAAAAACCAAATCTGCCCTCGTTGATCGCGAAAATTTAACGTAGCTACACAGATATTTTGTGTCTATCATTTTTGTTAACATTTTTTTTTAAGTAATGAAAACTGAAAGTTCATTGCTTAGATGCGACAAGTTCAACTTAATTGCAATATGTCATCTGTTATGTACAGTTTTATGGTGTTCGCTCCTTTCCTTACTGCTTTTAAAAGCGCCATTTTAATTTCATTTGAAACAATCTCGGAAAGCGCATTATGCGTCCTATAAGAGCAGAGCAAATTAAGGCTTAACGTGTTCCTTTTAAAACACCATAGCATTAACACTATGATAATAAACGTTTATTGAAATTGTAAAAGTGATGCCAGTTTATCCTAAAATTGCGTTGGAGTTGTGAGGTAATAATTGCTTGAAGTGATAACATTAATAATTCATTGCGCCATAAAAGTAAACAATTAAACAATATCAGAAGTAACCAAAAACTGCATTTTATGTCTTGATAATTTTCATAGTTCTATAAAAACAACTCAGTAAAATACCATCTGCGATTTTCAATTATGTTGCCTTTGCTTTCATTTCTCTCGGGGAATTATACAGTTCCATAGGTGTTGTTATCATGTCTAGATATATATATGATATTTAAGAGTCATTCTTTTCCCATAAATAAAATATGAAAAACAAGATCAACAAGGAAAGGCAACCCATTTTGCAAATCACCGTTTAAATTTACTTTAAAAATGAATACTGTTTCTGGACCTTCTCATGCAACTTGTTTTAAAGGTTAAGCTTAGTACCATTTTATTGCAGCTTTTCTGTACAAACATATAAATACATTTAGCGTTACATGATTAATACAAATACAAATATGCATAAAGAGATATAGTGCAAATGGGTCGGGATGCAAGTTATAACAACATTAGCAACGGCCTTCTCCACAACGTCAATAGTTTATACATCACATTTTACGGTACCTTTCATTGAACAAAATTAAACTGTTAATAGTTTTTATAGACAAAAATACAAAAAAACTATTCGAGTATATTTAAAGGTGACTGTAGATTATAAGCCCTAGTTAATATGTAAGTTTATAATAATCTTGAAACTCAATCAGTAAATTACCTAAATGTTAGTTAAAACAGCAATTTTGTTAAGATGACATTAATTTATTTTTGTATAATTAAAGTTACAAATAGTTAACACAAATCAGGATTTATTGGGACTCAAATGATTTTTTATCGAGCAAATTATTTAAATGTATTTAGATATACATACATTTTAATTTATTTTAATATATTTCATTCAGCTCGTTCAATACATTATGCACGGAATTAAATCTCAATTAACATCTTCTGTTTTATTTCGCATTAAGAAAGACTCAACTTCTTATCTATTTAATAGCTTTTATTAACAAGAAGAGATGTTATTTTTTGCAATACAAAAATATCTAGCTATATAAACATTTAGGAACAAACCCAGTAAACCTCAAAGAGACATACGGTTATTTTTTTTTACTTTGAACAGATTATTTGTAAAAAATACTTAAATAATAAACTCAATTTGGTTAATAAATTTCGAAAGCTGTCGCTCAAAGCGATAATTATTAGCATTTATATAGAAAATGATTGTCATTTCCTTCCAAGCAATAAGTTTTGTGCACTGGATTTTTAACAGGACATTACATTTCTATTTAGTCATAATTCAAAAAAACGGTTTGCATGAGAAATGCATGACACTGTAAAATCAGAATACATAAACGATTTAACAAAAAATGAATCATTTAGCCGCTATTTATCGAGTTTTATTCCTTCCTTGTTCACCTTTTTTTATCTAATGGGGTTCCATTTTTCCTATTTAAATTCTGCATAATCCTCTTTACGATATGGTGTTTGTCTTTTGACGTCTTATCTGTAATATGTAGGATTTAGAAACTCTGATCCCCTTTCAAATTACAATTTTTTCCCGCCGATGGTTTCCTATTAAGGGCAAACGCATTATTTTATTAAGGGACCATAAACCGTCATTCATGGAATGGACGAAAGTGTCACTTTGAAGGTTCCATGCTAACCGCCGAATGAACACATCTGCATATGTTTCTTAATTAACAATTGCACTTTTTTCATGTTTCAATGTTGAATTCTGCTTAAGACGGTGATATGGGGCGTGGACGGTAACTTGCAATTACGACTACCGTCTATAACGGGCTCATAGCCCTGCAACATTTTTCAATTTTTGCCGTTTTTGGGGCGTTCATTAGGGAACAACAAATTTCTTCTACATCTTGATAATGCACCAGCACATACGGCCGCTGAAACCAGACTTGAGTTGTCACTGATTGATCTTAAGTGTGTGCCACATCTCGCCTATTCACCGGACCTAGTCCCAATAGAATGTGCAGTCCTCTCAGAGATAACATTGAGTTTTAATTTAAATCATTAAACAAAACTCAACTTCTACGCTGTTTAAAGTAAATAATACAAGACTAAAACAAATAAATAACAAAAAACATTTTGTTTACATGTTTATGGTAGTTGTATTCGTTACATGCTAATTACAGGTGCGGGGTCGCCGGTTCCAGTCGACTGCCGATCTACTGAACGCTACATAGCGTATTCTGTGTCAGTTAGATAAGGCATGGTTTTTGGCTGTGTACAAGTGTTGTATTCATCGTCATATTCGATGTGTGAAGGCCAGGGAACATAACTTTGAAAGGCAGTAGCGGCCATGGACTGCCTTACTTTGAAGCACAAGTTGTATGTTATTATGACGTAACGTCGATAACTTTTTGGAGTTCACTGTCGCCGACATATGTTTATGTAAAATTAGATATTGTTGTAATATAAGAAGCTACTAACATGAATTTGTCTGTTTTTATTTGCAATATAAAATTCTTCTAAGCAGCAATATCTCAAGTATCTTTTACTCAATAAAGAAAGTCCGCGAATTTTTGGATAATCCCTCGTACATTTCTTGTAGCAGGCCCTATGCAACATTTTCTTATTACAAAAAAGAAAAAAAAACTTCCGCTATTCCCTCAAAATGGCAATTTGAACATTTATTTATCACAGATTATGTGGAGGCAATTATTTAAATGAATTGTTCATTAACATAACATACAGTGCGTGTCTGAAAACAACAATATTTAGCTAAGTAAGAAAGATGATTTTTTTTAGCTTAACAGACAAACCGTAACATAGGGAAATAAATATTCTGTTCTATTTAAGGGTAAAATGACAAACAGAAATAATTCATTGCAAATAAAACTACATTATTATCAGTTTTATTGGATAATGACGTCATTGTTACCGTTTTAGGATATCTATAGACAAAAAAAAACAAAAATAAATTACTTTGAATAAGCTGGGGGAAGAGTTGAACAGTTGCTGGATAAGAAATAATTAATGAACACGAATCTAAAATGTACTTTAGATAGATATGTGAGCAATCGATTTCTTTTTGAAAATGTCTGCATTTCTTCAGAAATTATAGATACTTTAAAAAAATCGTCCGTGCTTCACAAACAAAAGTCAAATTTCAATTACATTTTTGGAATATCATCCTTTGCATTTTTAAGAAAATAAAATACATTAAGATGATTGCTCAAAGATTTTAAGAACAACATCCCTTGCAACAACATTGACACCATTTAAAAATCGATTTAACAATAGGAACAAGTTAAAAAATGGTGTGATTACATTTTCATATAAAATAAAAAAGCACTGTTACTTAGTGACAACTATTACAAAAATAACTCATGCTATACTCAGTTACAAATGTATGATCAAGCTGCTGTATTCTGTCTACTGAAAATATATTGGTGTACATGTGTTGTAAAAATGCACATAATATTCCAATAAACCAACAATAGTATTTTAATAAATACAATTTAATTTCAATGGATGTAGTTAAATACGATACATATACGTATTTGAAGTTTAACGAAACGTTAGTTTCGTACTTGTACAAGCACTTTGTACGGTTTAGGCGTATAAACAAGTCCAGGAATGGGAGTTATATCCAGCTGTTCATCTGCTGGTTTTATAAATTTACATTTCTGCATCACATTGGAAAACGAAATAAATAGATTCATCTGCGCGAGAATTTCTCCAACACAGCGGCGTCTACCGTGACCAAAGGCGAAAATATGGTTGCATTTTTCTTTATCAAGGCTTTTTCTATCGGAAATAAATCGTTCTGGACGAAAGATTTCCGGATCTCCCCAGAATGAAATTTCGTGATGAACAGAATAGAGGTTGAAAACTACCACTGTGTCCTTATCCACATCGAAACCTTGTATCTTAGCATTCTTCATTGCGTAATGTGGAATTGAAAAAGGAACTTGGCTAACAAATCGCATGACTTCTAGAAGGACAGCATTTGTGAAGACCAGTTCGGGTTTGTCCTTCAGCATTACACTCCTGTTGGTTCCAACTATATCTTTGATCTCTGTAAAAACTTTTTCTTGAACGTCGGGGAATTTCGCCATGTAGAGAAACAGCCACAACAACGTTTTGTGCGTTGTATCAACGCTAAAATTAAAACAGGAAATTATAATGTTCAACGCTTTCTACATCACTATCTTCTCGTAAAATCTTCTAAAATAAGTACATGTATATAAATAAAATTATTCTAATATTTTACATAATAATACATAATTTGTAATTTAAATCAATTCGTCATTAACTTAATAAACAGAGATTAAAAACTTTTAAAGCTATTGGGTGATATGCAAAATCTCTTAAGATATCCTTATTATAGTGGCTGTTAATTTCAACTTAGATTTCTTCTATTACAAAAATCTCTCTTGTATGATTAAGTAAAACCGCTGCTGGCCATGTTCCATGGCACTTGTTCAGTTAAACTGGCACTGAAAAGCATTTATTCATAAAGCACTTAAGCATAAATACTGGACAACTTTGTTTTTGAAGAAAAAATGATACAGCAGGTTTGTAAAATATAATAATATGGAAAAAAAATCAACAAGGAAGGGCAGTATTCCTAAAACACAAGACAGCAGCACCTGACCACCGGCATGGAGTCGAGCAGGACCCCAAACAAAAACAGGAGCGGGTATATGAGCAAAACACAGACGGGTAGTTATTATAAATAATTCAAATCAATAGGAAATAAATAGTAACCGACACGGATAACAAGGAAGACAATAAACTGATACAAACCCAGCTCCTTTGTAAATCTGCAAGTGTAAGATTTGCAGTCTAGCTCTTGTTAACACATATCTATCTTTATTTTCTTCATCATCAGCGTCACTGGCAATAATTGCATCCGCTACATCTCTAATGTTTCCTGGAACAAATGTGTCATAATGTTGTGTACTTGCTCTGTTACAAGATCGTCTGATCGTGCGGTATTCTTCCGAATCGCTTCAAACCTTCCATGGCATGATATACTGTAGCCATGGTAACACGTCCAATGAACTCCCATTTCCAGACAAACTTATCAAATTCTTCAAGAAATTCTATTATTGTTTTCACGTGCCTTTCAACTTCAAACAGTTTTACCTCGTCCGTAAAGAAACTGGTAAATTATCTTAGTAACTAATGTTTGAACATCCAGTTCTATTGAACCGGCATTTCTATTGTATTTTTTACCAAAATATCTACAAATACGCTAGTCTCACTTGTAATTTATTCTTCAATTACTTCGGATCGCTTGGATGTAAACATACGTAAAGCTTTAGAGGTCAACTTTCTTTGTTTAAGATTAAACTGCTGTGAAAAATTACCAAAAGCGAGTCTATCTTCTTTGGTACGTTCGCTCAAGATTTCCATGGACAGAAAATGTGGTCTTCCGCTAAATGCGTCCGTCAGGATGTTCGGCAGCCGCCTTCACTGCATCATAACCATTGACAACTACAGTATTCCAGCTTCCAAGTCTGATAGAAAACACGTCACCAAAAGAATTCCACCATTTTAAGAACGTTTTCGGTGGGTATTTTCCAAACAGTGGAAGGTGTCCAAATTGGAAACCCAGCAGGCCCTTTTTGGATACCTCTTTTCTTTATTTTGAAGAAGCCATTGTAAGAATAAAACTGTCATGAAAACAGTTAAAGCAAATCCCAAAAAAAAGTTATGTCCGACATAGTAATTACAAGTGTTCAGTGAAATTGTTTTGTAATAGAGTGACACCATGTACTAATCGTATGATGTTCCTAGTATAATATAGCAGATAGTTATAGATTACGCGACCTGTACATAAACAAATGCAGTGACATAGATACCTGTCTATGCAACTATTAAAGTTAGGTTACATTAAGATAAAGAAATGATATTATTGAGTGTTAACATGTTTGTAATCTGTACTCTTAAATACCGGCATGGCCACAGGGCGAGTTTATTAAAATGCGACGTCTCTTTATTGACAAGCAAATATGTATTCTGCATTGGAGAATTGTTCTATCTTGATGCAGTACAAAATTTAATAGGTTTGACGATTGCGATTATTTGTTAATGCAACTTTTATGTTTTATTCATATTTCCCGCAAAATTTGTTTAAGTTTTACAACGTTAATCCCGTTTGACATTCTCACTTTTTGTTTTTAAAAGATTCAGCCATATTTGGGACTAGTAAATGCCGTTTTATAAGAATGCAAAACAGAACTTTGACCATTTGTTGACCTATTGAATTTTTTTCCCAATGACTTTAAATTTTTGGGGCGCAATGCGCCAATTTGCGCCCCCAATGTAATAAACGACAAATTTTAGAATTTTTACTATTGATGTAACACCAAATTAAAATCAGCTACCTACGCTTAAGCAAAAAATAGTTCCCAAAACCCTTCGCAAGTAACTCCAAAATCATAGTTCCCTAATACTATTTTTAAAAAATTGAAACTGGCCAATTTTGTACTAAATTTAGCAATCGTCTTTTTAAATTGTATGTATATTTTTTGCTTTACGCGATTTTAATATTACTACGCCAGCGGTCGATCATAGCCAAAGTACTTGCATAAATATAGTACAAATTACATGTAGTCACAAGTTAATTAAGTGTCATAGAACTCAAAAATTTAGCAAGTAATGGAATACGGATTTCAGCCAATCAGCTAACTTTAAAGCTTATAGCGGCCTAATGCTTCATAAGTGTTAATTTAAAGAAAAACAATGCATGCGTATGAATACGAACTATTTTCGCCCCCTTACGTCATTTTACCGCAATCGCCATTGTTTTACAAGTTCATCCGTGAAAGATTGAGAAGTTTATATAGAAGTTCCACGTGTTAAAACGAGTTGTAAGTTTTATTTTACAAAAACCTTATCTCCCATTTACCTAAATGTTGTATAACTTTGCTTGTTTTGCATTTATCCATTTATCAGTGGCGAAATCGTCGTCAAAATCGTTGGCGATTCTGGTTGCTTACAAAAAAATACAAGGACTTAATACCGGATATGACTTTAAATACAACGTTATTCAAGATGACTGATGTTCATTGTTTATAATTTCATAACGTTGATATTTAAGTTGCAATCAAAAGCTGTAATTTTTACAAATTTTCTTCACAATCGGCCATTATCGGGTAAAGCTTTTTTGTACTGAATTGACGTTATCAAATTTTAAGTTTAGCAGTTCCTTCCCTTGAAAGTCCTCCCTCAAACCATTTCCTACCCAGACATTTTGACCCATTTATTTTTTATATATTTTTTGGAGGTGAGTTATTTACATCTAGCGTTTATACCATATTTTTTGATGTTTACCTTACGGGTTTTTTTTAAAATTAAAAAAAATTTCGGTTAGTTAATGATGTTTTTAAATTCCCTTTTTTCTAAAAGAATGAACTGGTTTCCCGGTGCTTTAATCCAATTTTTTTACCTTCTTTCCCAAAAATTTTGGCCTTGAAATTTTCCCATCTTTTCTCACTGCTTAAAAAAAACCCAAAGCGGGGGATAAAAATTTCATGTTAAAATTTTTTTTGTAAAAAAGGAAAAAGAGTTTTGGGGAAAAGGGACACTTAAAAACCACAGAAACACAAAGAATTTTTTTTTATTTTGTGCTAATTCACCCAATTTGCCATCTCTTTTTTTACTGAAAACTTCAAAATTTAAGCTAAAAAAATCGACATGTCTTGCCTTGTCCATCACCCTCGGCTTACAGACACTTCACCCCCAGACACTTCACCCCTAGGCCCTTTTTTGCAGACACCTCACCCCTCATTTTTAAGAAAATTGAGTAAGGTTATAATTATATTTACACTGGGGTATTAGCATTGAAAAACCCTGACATTTTGCTTAGGTTCTGTGTAACATCTATACCGCTACCAGTACAATTTTTTTTTGGAAAAATGCGTTTGAACTCAAATTGATACTACATAACTGACAGCGTATTCATGCCACATGGTTAATTTAGAATTTTATCCAGGGAGAACATGAGAATTATGCATAAATATTTATACACATTTTTAAAGTTAAAACCATGCAAATAATATATTGATTTCTTATTGGAGTGAAAAAATGAGTACATGTACATAAATAATGTTCAAAAGTATAAAATGAACTAGGTTTACAAAATATTGCTCTTGTCAGATGTAGTTATACTTGGTTTTTATCACATATCACTTATCAATATGAAATCATCCATTTTATATATGCCAATTTTGGATGGGAAATTTTGACAGTAATTTTGGGACTTTAAAAATAAAAACATTTGAAAATTTGCTGTCTTTTTTATTGGGAATGTAAATAGTTTTATAAGGGAAAAATGCTGTTTCTATTACAAATATAGAATAGATAATAGTTACAAATACTACAAATAATATATCAGGGATTGAAAAACGAAAAAAACAACAACAACAACAATGCTTAAAAAATATAAATTTCCTACATGTTCTGACTCATTTTTCTTTTTTTGAAGACATTTTTTTCTTTTTTGAAAACACTGTTTAACTTACTTCTTTCCTGGCTAAACATTTGCCAAATATTGCATTGTGACATTTTAAAAAAAATTTTGTGGAACATACTGGGGAATCGCCGCACGGGCTTTTTAGTAAAGTTTTTACAAAATTAGAATCAGACAGAATTAAAAAGCGTTGCATTCAAACAAATCAACATCAGGGTTTTGCCCAATCAAAAACACAGGGAAATTATTTTTGTGGCTCTGTCCTACTAGTAAAAACTTGGAAAATTCGGTTTCAAAAGAATTGAATTGAAATTTTGATTAATTTATTGCTAGGGAAAATTTCACTACGTCCTGCCAGGACGGGCATTTTTGGGAGATTCAACTTTGTCCCAGAGTCATTTTACTCCGTATTTATCATTTATGAGCGGACAATGTTGGGATTTGTCAAGCCTTGATTAACTGCAAAGTGATTAACCACATTAATTTCCATAAAAAACTTATACTACATGTAATTACATTGTTTGAGATAATAAATCATTTGACTTACTAGTGAAATAAGTTTTAGACTGCATAATATATTGATATAAAAAGTGAATTCAGTTTAGTGGGTTCCAAACTACAGGTTGTCGAAACTGCTTCTATTTTCTATTCAAGTTTTTTTTTTTGATGAAAACAAAACTTAATCCTGACAACAATTATTATATGCTTAACAGTGTTGTCTTTTGATTATTTTTAAAATCTGTTGAAAATATTCATATTAAATTCATGAAAAAGAAGTTTAAAAAAAAAAGAGAAAGAAATGAGATTTGGGCATAATTTTTAAGAAGGGTAAAGATACTTCAATGAAAAAGTTAAGATAGGTAACAAAAATCAATCAAACCAAAAACTCATTTTAAATTTCAAGTTGTTCCTGACATGTCTAAGTTGTTCCTGACATGTCAGAACAAAATTTTAATAATTTTTTTTTTTTGAAATCTGGTAACCTCGAGCTATGTTCTCTACCGATTGAGCTATTGATTCCGACAATTATTACTCACTTTTTACAATAATTATTGTTAGTCAATCATATCTGGACATGCAACATTCAAACTTACCCATATTATATTGCCTTTAAAAAGGACTGTTTCGACTATAAATACTTGAAATTATAAAGAAATTGCCCCTATTATTCTTTACAGTCTATTGTGTGTATAGGCTAAAATTTAGGAGACACTTGTGAAAAATTACGCAATGAAAAAATGAATAATTACATTGAAAATACAGGAAATGAAAATGAGCATTTTACTTTTATCAATATTTCTTAATGTTTCAATGAAGTATGTAATAAATTAAAAGAAAACTATTGTATTTTATTTAAATTAAAAAAACTATTTTTATTGTTAGGAAAAAATTTTTATTTCAAAGGTTTTTGAATAAAGGGTTGTTTTTTAGATTTTTAATTGTTTGGGTCAGTTTTGGGTTTTTTGCTGAGAAGCTGTGAAACATTTAAATTAAAACCCGGCCATTAAGGGAAAATTTACTTTTTTTTGACTTTGTATATATATCCCTCTACTTTTAGCATAACAAAAAAAAGAACAATTTGAATTCCTTCCATAACAATAGAATATGGGGGCCCCTGGCCCTTTTAAAAAAACAAAAGGAAAAAAAAATAGTAAAAGGTCCTTAATCCCTTTTCCCTCCCCACGGGCAAAAAATTTTTCTTCAAGTTAAAACCATACATTATATATGTTAAGGGAAAATTTTAAAAAAGGGAAATTTTTATTGTTATATATTATATTTGGTTTGAAAATCTTTGTATATTTTTCAATTTTGACCCAAATAGTTTCTCAAAGTATTTATTTTGACATTAACTGACATAATTAGTGGCATATGTTTCTAACTTCTTTTCCAGGAGGTTTTTGTCAGATTGAATGAATGTGAAATTGAAGAGGACCCATTTTGAGGATGCTTTTTATGAAAATGGTAATCACGAGAGATGAAGTCTAAAAATTGTGATTACTGTCAATGTGACTAGTCTAACCTTGAAGTAAACAGATGACACAATGTTTTTATTTCAATGTCATGGGCATATAATGAAAGAGGTACCATTGATTTATTTGTATACACTTTTCCTTAATAAATACTTTCTAAACTGTTTGACATTGTTTTAAAGGCCAAGACACAGGGCCTCAAAGTTTATTTAAAATCTGTAAGCTTGGCACTTAGAGCCAATTGTTATTAATTATTTCCCAATTATCTTTTCATTATGCAATCTGTTGTTAATTTAGGAACAAAAGTCGATAGCAAAAAACATTTTAAGCCATGTCCCATGACGAAACCAACATAATGGGCATATCCGCCCATCTGATCAGGATCCATACTGTTGCGCTATCAGTTTCTCTACTTGTAATAAGGTTTCGTAAGCGAACAGCAATGGATCCTGATCAACCAACCTGGTCTGGATCCATTGCTGGCGCAAACCCATTATGTTTGGTTTTGTCATGACATGGCTCATTTGTGACATGTATAAATTCACTTAAATTTGTATTTTGAAATTCAAGTTTCATTCCTTTCACCTCAAAGGCATTTGACATTTGAAATGACTTCAATGTAGGGGAAGCAGTCAGTTAAAAACCCAAAC